TGCCTGCTCCTAATACATTTGCTACCTATCTGTGCATGGAAAATTTGACTGGATACGGAGGTGGAATCTTCCATAACGTAGGGGATCCCCTTCATTGCGGCCTCAACTTTGAGAGCTTTTTTTGAGCACGAGAGTTCGTGTCACAGAAAATCACCACGGTGTCTATCGTAAACTTTTACGTAAAGAAACAAGTACTTAAAGTATGCGAATGCCTGTGGCATTCAAGAGCCCTATCCCCCCCGTAATCTATGTGCCTAATATTGCACAGTCAAACGCTCCGGGTATAAAGGCTCTTGCCAAGAAGATTTTAAGGAAGATACCAAACAAGTTAAATGAGTCGAAAGTCAATCCTCAACATTCATTGAACGCATTTATGACTAGAATCAGCCTAACTGCATTTTGTGTTTCCAAATTTTCTCTCGTGTTTTATTTTTTCGACTGAGAAATGAACTGTTTTATAACGCCTTTGAACTCTCTGGGAATTTACCCCATGAATATACACACAAAATTTCAATTTTCAGTGTCTGTTGCTCCTCTTTCAAAAATAAAATATTAGAAAAACTAGGCAACACCTAATGGAGTCAGGCTAATTTCAGACAAATCTGTCCAATTATGCTAAAAAATTTATGACTCCAAAATTGGCGATTATTTTAATTTTACTACTAATAACGTAAAATTCTGACAATTATAATTTCTATTACCATATCTCATAGATGTGTCATCCTTTTTAAAGTTCAAAGGTGAAGGTTAGAGATGGAACTGGGTTTGCGATTAAGACTCAACGAGTCGGAGTAAGCTATCTCGAGATTTTTCAGAGAAGTAGCAACAACCGGCGGGACCGATTGGTCGAGTCAAGGTCATTTCTTTGAACTCTACTTCTTAAAAATTCAACTTTATGAGCTCTCACGCTACATTTTCTACCCGCTTTGGTCTTAGAGGTGATTTATGAAAGTTGGCAACACTATTTTTCCTCCATTTAAGTCCATCGTAAACAATCGATTCCAGATGAGGCGGCCTAATCTGGCGCCTCCAGGCTTAAATATGTTAGCCTACTGTTGCCGGATTTCAAAAATTACCACTGTGTGTTGGTATATCAACTAGGAAGCCCAGCTAGAACTTATGGCTCCTAAATTCGAATAGAGCTTCTTCAAACTACCATTGACTCACGGACCCCCTTTAAATGGTACTGATTGGATATTGATCGTTTTGCCGCGCTTTTTATGGGTGGCCATATTGGATCGCATTCCTCAAAAAAGAACCAACGCGATAACAATGTTTTCAATACTGTGCAACTGCTTCTCCTTTTTAAGAAACACTTAATATATGTACAGTATTAAAATTTTCACAATTATTGTTCTTTAAAATTAAACATTTTTTGGTGGGAAGCAAAAACGACTTGCGATTCTGCGAGATTTTTTTTTAGATTATTATGAATAAAAAACATTTTTACGACTGTGTAATCGCGCTGGTTCCTTTTTGCTGAATGTGATCCAATTTACGAGTATATATCGAGCGACGTAACTGCAAAATCAATCGCTGTTCATTGCGCACCAGTCGCTCCTGTTTTTCAATCGGAGATTTGAAGAAATAGTACTCGCATACCTATCATCCCGAGGAGAACGAATCTCAAATGTAATACATTACACAATATGGAACCACCATTTCTGGCTCATCCATAAAGGCACCTTCCTGCGTAGAGAAACCAATAGCACGAATGGTTGGCGTTATGCAAAAAGGAGGATGTTGAGAGAATGTCCGATTTCGGCTTCGGAGTGACCGTATTTTGAGAGACAGCGCGTAAGTGCTCATGAGAATTCGCTGGCAGATACGCGCGCCGATCGTGTGGTTCCTCTTCGCTAAACGCGCTTTTGGAGTTTTACGTTTTGCAATAACGAGCCAAGACGGTTCCTGAGACGGAACGAGTTGGTTCCCACTGGATCACCGCACACCTGCCAATGAATTTTTATACGCACCCATGCGCCGTTTCCAAAATTATGGTTGGTTCAACAGACCTATCAAGAGCTCAGGGAACACAGATGATACGGAGGGATAATACATTAGAGATTTATATAATGATACAAACCAATGGAGCACAGTAAATATCTGCTATTTTGATAGCGATAGAAACAAGGCAAGTATGAGAACCAAAGGATCGAAAAAACATTTCCCGACCAACTCTGTTTCTATTTTACGAGATGGCATCCAAATGTTTGCTCTAAAATGGACAAGAAATGGTTATCCTTGTTTTGAATATTGTTTGAATTGTATATCGACGATGAAATTACCAGACCACGTAACTCGGTTTCCGATGCTGTAGACTTCCTGTCATATGTTATTTTTAAACAAATGGAAAACTACTCGACATCAATTCGTGACAACTTCCATGTTTTATCCTCTCTATGAGAAGAAAATTTCAAGTAGAAATATTGATTTGTTCTCCTTCAAAAAAATAAAATGGGATCAGGGCCGGATTCACCTACTTGCCGCCCATGTACTTTGCCGCCCCCTTCTCATTCGTTTTGAAACTTGATAAAAACCAACAAGTGAACGTGCCAACGGGAGAGGGGTGCATAGCACGCATTTACTCGTGTTGAACACATTTTTAGGGAAAGCCCTGTCAACACTAGCAAAAGTTCACGGAACTTTGCGCGAAAGTTAAGTTTCGTAAACCTATCTCTAGTGGACAAGGCCTTCCATGTTTGGCGCAAAGCGTGAATTATTCAGACAGTTTTGTAGGCGCTATGCGTTTCACGCCGACCGCTGCTGAACGCACTGTGTTGGACGCAATGCGTGAAGTATTCACGCAGTTTTGTAGGCGCTATCCGTTTCACGCTGACCGCACTGTGTTTGATTCAATGCGAGAAGTATTCGTGCAGTCTTGTAGGCGCTAATATGTGTCACATGCCGATCGCCACGCCGAGGGCTTCTCCTTTTCATCTCAAGTCCTCGTTATCATTTCTTTCGAAGTCGCGCCGTTCCAGGCCAAATTGCGTATTTGGTTTCTCTCTTAACTCGACTAATTGAAGGTACTGTCTCTTGGATCACTAAGAGACGACAAAATTAGAAATTACTATACTCTCAGTAAATGAGAGATTTTGTCGCCTTTTTTCGTTTGTAATTTTTTTTCTAAATCCGATTTTTTTTATACCTGCACTTAAAAAAATTGCAAATTTTTGCCGCCCCTTCGATTTGCCGCCATGGGCCGCGGCCCATGTGGCCACCTCCTTAATCCGGCCCTGAATGGGATCGGAGATTTTTAAACACCGCAAACGAGATACGTGGTCTGGTAGTCTCACCGAGCACGAGTGAAATGAAAATGAAATCACTCAGTTTAAAAATTCAGACTTTTTGACATGTCCTCTGAAATCATTCAACGACATTTTCAAATTTGTGACTCGGGGATGTTCTGGCACTAGACTAAAATCATTTTAGAAGCGTTCAATGTGTGAAAAATTGTTGAAGGAAAGTCTTAGAATTATGAATATGTGTCAGTGACACATTTTTACGAACATAAGATCACGCTGATTCGCGGCATAGAGATATTGATCCCACCCCACAGCAAGAAATAAATGTCCGGGATATTCTTCACAGATTATGGCGTCACAGAATAGAATTTTGTTAGGACCGACAGTTTTTTTGCTGTTAATTTTTTCAACACGATTACGGGAGAAATCAGTTGCACAAACGGCGTTTGGTACGGAAATGAAGAACGCGTATTTGTTGTTGATCTCTCTCGCACATATCATTCGTGTGAAAGATAGTGGATCTACCCGGTGGCGCTGAGGATTCACCTTGGGTCGACATCCTCATTCCTCAAATTTCTCTAATATCTCTCTTTTTATTGATGTTTATCCTAAATAAGCAATTTATAAGGTACACGAAAGAAATAGAATTGCTCCTCTGACAATCCTCATTGTGGATTACAGGCTCCAACTACTTTTCTAGTCTTACCTGCAATATTTCTTTTCTCGTAACAATACTTCTTGTGCGGTAAGAATCTGTATTGTTATCGGAACCGAAATAAGTGTTACTACAAAAGCAACATATTGTACCTAACTACGACCATAGAAAATTATGTACGTACCAGAATTCACTATGACCATTGTAAGAGCAACGAGTTTTTTTTTTTTTCTGTGACTTATTGAATATTTGTTTTTATCTGATACCCATATCGAGGGGCTTGGAGGACAAGGCACATGAGTGCAGTTTTTAAAAAAATGGAGGTATTGATGATTTCAAGTAAAATTAGTCTTACTGCGTATTCTGTGAAACATTCGCTCAAAAATTCCAATTTTTTAGCATCAAAAAGTCAGTTTGAACTTTTTTTTCCGCCATTAAGGATCCAAGTAAATTCGGAACCTCAAATACGTATTTCTGATAATAGCAAAAACTGCACTTACGTGCCTTGTCCTTCAAACCCCTCTATTATGGTCACGCAAGGTATGAGAAATGCTTTTACGTAGTAGCCCGTGACAAAGACAATGCCAAAAATTTATAAAAACAAAACCGCGAGGAACAAGGCTAAATACGCAAATTAAAAGATCCGTAACATTTTGACTGCAAATACAGCCATCTTCAGTTGGATGAACATTAAAGTGGCCTTGAAATCGAAGAAAAAAAGATAGAAAAAAATAGCACCTGGTACGTTGCACCTTCCAAACAAGAGAAATGTCCATATTGTTCTCACGGTCGACAAAATCCAAACAACTCATCGATGGTCCATGGTTACGATGACATGGTTACGCACTGTGTTAAGTATCCCTGGTTATCATGGTTACCGATGCAAATATTTGGTCCGACACGAATCTGATTTTTGGATCTTTGAATCTGAATTAACGATACGAGTGATCACTTTGGCATAGTTCCAAATCTCTTGATTCGTCTGTATTAATAAACTGAACATTGAAAATTAAAAATTTGTGAAATTATTGGGAAGGTAAAAAACGGTTCACAAGCGATGATTTGGTCTAGCTCAGTATCAATGTTTTGGTCCTGTACGTGTAGTTTTTTTTTTTTTTTTTTAAAAAAAAATAATGATTAAATGCATATACTCCTGACTAAAAATCTCAATATTTAAAGAAGAAAAGAGGGCTTGATTGGCTTGTGGCAAATCCTTCGTTAAAATCGGACCCTTATAAATAATATTATTGGCAACAAGCTTGAGGCTTTTTAACGTATTCACTGCTATCACTGCCTTAAGTTAAAATGTATTGTGAGAAATGAAAACAATGCAGCCGACTTCTACGTGAGACAGAAGTCTCGCAATTTGGTTCTCAACGTATAGACTGCCACTTAAGCAATGTGCTGTTTAGTCTCGTTTTCGTTTCCCATGCACATGTAAGTGGAAGCCACTCTGTGAATAGCTTCGTTGCAAGATCCTTTTGAAAAATTGACCCAAGTTTGCGCACTCGATCATGACTTTCTTGGGACCTTATTTCACCTTATTTATACACCATTCTTCAAAAATAGTTTGGTATTCTATAATACCGGTCAATATAAGGTATACATGCCTCCAATATTGGAGCTGATTTTAAGAGTTTAATTTGCGCTGATTTAAAAATTATGTGATTCTGACATCATCAAATAAAAAAAAATCCTCGGAGAAGAATACAAATTTAGAGCGCGTTCCTAATAAAGTTCCGTTTTACCCAAGAATTATACAAATGTTGTTAGACTCGTCGATCAATTCATACTTAAACTTAAAGTATCTTACACTACTTTTTTCATGCAGATCAATATATTAACTGAAATTTACGAATAAAAAATGTAATTTTCCAGCATTTAAATCTATATATTTTTTATAAACCATTCCATTAATGTAATATGCTCCAACAAATGAAGTATCAATTGTTTTTCGTATTTTTTTGTTGTTACAGATTCATGAGTACCTTCCTAACGACTCAGACCCATCATCCTATTCGAAAAGGTAGGAAATCACCAACATGCATCCCAATATCATCACCATGTATTCGTTCATAAATGTTTCATCATCCATACAAGTCACAAATATTTTCCTTTTTTCTCAATTTGAAAACCAGATTGCAATCGCACACTCATCGCGGGTTTAGTTATATACTTGCCCATATTTGAATGATCCGGGTCAGTGACGTGGCGTGAATTGCGATATATCTATTGTTATGCCATTTAAACCTATGGCAAAGAATCGATTATTAAGGTGTTCGCTGCGAACACCTTGTTTATCGATCCTTTTCCATGGGTTTAAATGGCATAACAATCGATATATCGCAAAGCACGCCACGCCACTGATCCGGGTATCCACCACGGGAGAAGCATAATTTCCGAGGGAAAAGTATGGACGCAGCGTTAGGAATTGTCTAGCATAGTACTGCTTGATGAATTTTGACAGAAATCAATAAACAAAAACAGTTCGCCCAAGGGCTATGTTCCCATTACCCACAAATAGTATGTTAAAAAACTTGTTCCTTCCGATCACTGTGCGATACGGCCGCGGCGTGCGTACAAAATGTTTTTGGGCCGTTCGAGTGTTACGTAAGGCACTTNAGGATTACACAAGTCTCGCTTTTTTAACAAAAAGTTATCATTTCCGATAAAAATCATTTTTACAGGGGCTTTCAGCAATTTTTTTTTTTTTTTTAAAAAATTGCGGGCGGAATAGGGTCAAACCAGGCTTACTTATTTCCAAATTGAAGTGAGAGGTTGGCTCCCTAGTGGCTTGCATGAGGTGGGATGGAGGAGAGGGGGGGGGGTCAAAAAGACGGGGAAAACGGCTCACAAAGTCTTATATGTATTATTTCCATAGTTTCTATTTTCTGGTGCACATATTTTGGCCTGAGATTACTGTCCACATTTGGTTTGCACTCTTGTGCGAGTAGAGCCGGTAATTATTTGTATAGACTGTAAAGAGGATCAAATATTCTCGGTCAAGTATCACTAGCAACATTCATATATTTGGATCGCGTTTAACAGGAAGGAACCAAGCCACATCAGCTATTGCCAAATTTAACAGGGCATTTTAATTTTTTACGTGAGAACTTTGGCACGAATTCCTTTGAAAATGTAAAGAAATTTGCTTCGTACTATGCAGAAAATTAACTGAAATTCGTACAAAAATCCGCGCAACCGTCTACACGTAAAAAATTAAATTGCCCAATTCTTAGCAATAGCTGATGGTTCCTTTCTGTTTAACGCGGTTCATCGCGTAGTCATGCTCATGGCAGCTTCCAGCGCATCCCGTGGCGCGGCGTGAATAATCGATACTCCCTCATTTGAAGCTATGGTAAATAATCGATTATTAAGGTATTCGTTGCGACCACCCTGTTGATCGATCCTTTTCCATAGGTTTAAATGGCAGATCAATCGATGTATCGCAAAGCACGCCACGCCACTGAGCGCATAAGGCACCCGCGATCGATGTAAACAGGCCCGTAACGTCACAAAATGAGGAAACATCTGTTTAATTCTGTTTTACGGTGCAATCCCAGTCTGAAATTTTACACCTTGGCTTTTATTCCCGGCCGATTCTCTCCAATTGCTCGTCAATTGGAGCCCTCAAAAGTTTTATGCCCTGCTCGTTCTCTCAAATTGCTCGTCGATTGGAGCCCACAAAAGTTTCTCCATCCAGGTTCACGACTTTGTTAGCTCCGGATTAATGATTTGTAATCATGCAAGAACTTCTAGAGCTCACTCCATTCTTTTCTCTCCACTACGTTTTCCTTGCGTTTTTCACGATTCGTCATTTATCAGAAGAAGGAAAGTCACTCCATTCCAAGGTTGAAAAATTGACTCGAGCAGCGTAATTTTTATTAGAATTAGCGGGTACGCCCCCCTGATCGCCTCGCGGTCCAATCTCCCACAGCGCTTCGCGCCTCAGACGTTATGCGTAACGCGTTAATCTTAAGACTTTATGTAATTGAAGTAGGATATGACTGTGCAATTTTGGAATAAAAGTTTGATGACCATGTAATCAGAAGAAAAATCTGTGAACTATCAATAAAATTACCTAATAGTTTCCCATAGAAGAGATTGGTCAGCGGGAATTTCGCATTTTGAAATGTATAGTTACACTCTTTCAACCTAGAAACGAATTATTGTGAGGAGATATTTGTAGACTCACGATCTACGAGAATAACTTAGCTAATATTTCCAAGAAGTCGACCCTCCCGGGAAATGGGAGAGCAATTTTAGCTGAATTTTGTAAGGAAGCAAAATAAATTAAGGAAAAAATTTCAGATAAATCCAAAATTCTCAAAATAACAAGAAACGTATCTTCTAATTGCCCATGGAAGAGGGAGGAATAACTGAAGATGCCGCTCCGGTAACCCCTACGTAAATGAGCTAAGGTCTTTATCAAGAGGATTAAGCCTCGGAGACTTGAACGCGGGGATAAGAAAGTAGTCTGGAACAAACGAAATATCCTCGGGTCTATGAAGCGCTGATCATTGCCTTTAAAAAGCAGTGAGTCAGTTTCATTATATGCCACTGAGGAATATTTTCATGAGAAAAGAAAAATAAGGTGGAATGCGATGAAAGAACACATCAATTGTAAAACTGCCAAATTACGAAACTTGATTTGAGTTGAGCCAAGCTGCAGAAATGAGTTGTAGGGAATGTCTTTTACCTGCCATCGAAATATTTTAGTCAAACACAATCGCGAGTTATTCAGACAAGAACTCCTTTTTCCGCGTATCTGGCGCTAATTCGCAAAAACCGTACCTCGCAGCGGCTACTGTATAAAATTGGCTGAATGAAAAATTAGTCACAGAATGATCAATGGTAAAGCTGCATGCGCTATTCGAGACACTCCTTGAGCATCTCATTGGAATTAGAGCCCAACATAAAGCAATGACACGTTTTGGCATTAATAGAGGCTTCCACTGAGATTTAAGCGTGCTGTTTCTACACAGCTATACTCTTTGTTCGGTCTAAATTCAAGGTATGTAAAAACCCGACCCATAGGGCCCCAATTGTGATCCATGTACCTCGGAATTAAGCGCTGGATCCTGATTCGCAGAACAAGTATCTCAGTTTTTCTCGCATAATTTCAAACGGTTAAAATTAGTTTAAAAACTGCTTATACGCAGAGGGTTAGAGAGCATCTTTGCGTTTCTACGTTCAAGGATGATTAACGCTCCTCTGTCAAAGATTAAGACTACGTAAATGATTATTCTCCCGAAAAATCCGTTTTTAAGATGATTTTATGAAAAATCTCACGAAAATGGCTTAAAATTCAGTCTGAGGGGGTTGTAATTTTCAAGATTTTTCGAGGATAAGTCTCGAATCCCCCAATATCTGGAGAAGGGCCCTCAGAACCCTCCTGGGAGGCCCCCCGCCTGAATTTCTCGACCCAGTCCGCCTTTTGCCAAAAGTAACTTTTTGCAACGTTACTGCAGTTGATATTTCCAGCTAAATTCCCGCAAACCCGCTTTCTTGGCATTCATAACTTTAGAGTTGGACTGCATTTTGCAATTTGGAATTATAAATTCTGGCTCATCTGAAAAAACACGTATGTGCACAAGGAAACGAATGACAAATATGTTGTTTTTAAACCGGGTCAGAATTTATGGCTCCAAAATGCAAAATGCAGCCCAATTGTTACGTCGACGTCACTTTCAACGTGCAAGCTCCTTGCAATTAGACGAGACTCACTGCAAGGTGGTTGAAAAGAGATAGATAAGGACGGAGTAACAATGAAACAATAGAAATCAAAACAGAATGAAATTCCGAAGGGCGTTTGAACGAAAGAATCGGTGATTGAGGGGTCAGTCACCCCGAAATCCGGGGAGTCGAACATGGTAGATGACCGGGTACGTGTTTCCTTCTTAAAAGAAGCATTTCCGGTCAAGGCGGACAGCTTACGGTTCCGATCACGCCGGCAAAGTTGCCAAGCATTCCCAAGTACTATTGTTGTCTATTCATTTCGTCGATTTATTTTGATAATTTTAAAATAAAATGAAATCATGACTAACGAAAGATTCCGAAATCATGGAATTACAATTTCTGAGCCATCGGTAAAAATACATAAATTCTAAAAATTATTATGTTAACTGACACAAGGATAATAATAGTTAAATACATTATTAAAATAACATTTTTAATAATCTAAAAACTTGTATTTAAAGTTATCTCGAGTTAGGTTACGTAGGCCACGTAGAATGCCCCTCAAGAGAGGATGTGTAAACTAAAAACTTTTCGTAGTTTTGGAATAACTGGACTATACCATGCAAATCTGGAACTACAATTTCTGAGCCATCGGTAAAAATAATTTATGTGCACTGGGGAAATAAGGGTATATACGTTGTTTCTAAACTGAGACAGAAGTTGTAGTTCCTAATTACAAAATGTAAATATATTCTAATTCATGATACATTAACAATATCACTTATTCTAATTCATGATATATTAACAATATCATTTTTGGGTTTCGTCTAAATGAAGTGTGTCACCTATTCATCAACACCATATCAGATATAAAAAGGAGGATTGCTAGTTGTTCAACGTCAGTTTTTCATGCTTTGAGGAACAGGGAACCTTTATCTACGGTATCTATCAGCCATGTGGCCCAAAATCTGACATTTTGTCTCAGCCTCGTAAAGCACTGGATGTCACCACATCGTATTCGCAGCTCAAATCAATTTAAATAAATTTTTTAAGTGAAAGCGATTGATTCGACACACCAGCAGTTAATTACACCCTGATCTGCATCTAAATGTCACCGACACTCGGCGTGAGACAGACGGTGACATCAAGTTTTGGAGTGTCTGAGCACGTTTCTGGCACTTTGGTGCGCCTAAATGTACATTGCAAGGGCATTCGTGATCATGAGGCCCAATTTTTTTTCATATCACTTGTCGTGCGCACACTGGACTTGACCCACAATTTCATTATCCATTGAACACATGCTAAACGTTAACATCGTGGAATTAGTAAATTTTTGCTAGACACAGC